TATATATATATATATATATATATATATAAAACAATAAACAAAATTTCTTTGCGAAAACCCTAATATGCTAATGCATCTGTTAATGGTCAATACCAATACCAACACAAATTTCCTTTATACATAAAAGAAGAGGAGAAAAAGAAAGCAAATACTGACACCTATCTCCCTTCAAACTCCAACAGCGGGTCCAATGTTCAACCCAGAATTCTTTATGGTCATGTTATAGTCGTCTCTTTCCCCGACACGCTGTAGCCCAAAAAGAACAGAGAAAAAACTCGTCAATCAATTTCTCCTAACTCTCTATCATTTGCAGGCTCTGGAAAGCTAAGGGGTGGTTCAGCATCCCCATTATCATCATCCTCTTCTTCCTCATCAACCTTCATGTATAACCCTAGCTGTTCCAGGGGATTCCCTTGCAGTTTGAAGCTACCCAACCCGTTTTGAGAATGATCTGGGCTGGTTTCCTCATTGAAACTGGGCAAATGTTCATCATTGGTGGCCCTGAGCATTTCTAGATCTTCCATAAATTGACTATTCTCATTGATATCCACTGTCTTTTCCATCTGAAATTACCAGAATTTAACTCCCTCAGACTTCTTCTTCTTGCTACTAAAGGCACTCCTAACAAATAACAAACTGCACAAATTTACCTTTAGTAATGCCTGCCGTTGAGCTTCTCTCTCCTGTTCAATTTTCCTTCTGACCTCTTCTGCTTCAGCCTTTCTCTTGGCCTCTTCAGCAGCTTTGGCCTCTGCTTGAATTCGAGCTAAATCTGATAAAAGAGTTAATAGGAAGAATGAGCTTCAAATTTCCAAAACAGAATTCTTAACTCCATCTAAAAAAATCCACATCCAGTCCAGACAAAATTTAAAGTTAACAAATCTGAACCTTCTCTATGCCGCCTTTCTAGTTCTTCCTTCTCAATCCGTAGTTTCTCAGGATCTTGCTTCTCACCCTGCATTGTGTGTTGACCATTTGGTGGGTCAAAAATAAATTCTATCTGAAAACCCTCTATATCTCACATACACTATAGCCACTGTAACCCACCTTTTCAAGTGCCTTTTTCCGAGCTTTAAATATAGTTTCAGCAAAACGGTTCCTTAATAAAGCTGCACGATAACGCTTTTCTGGGGAGACTTGCCTCCCAGATGGAGCACTCTCCCCTACTATATTACAGCAATGTGGGTGAGATCATGCCACAAAAGTGACAGCAGGAAGTCTTCTTAAAAATTATGCTTACCCTCTTGATTGCCATCTGCTCCAGCAATTGGCTGACCCTGGGAATTCAGCTCAACTTGATTCAACTTGTTTAAAGATTCTGTACAAAAGGAGCGGAAAATTAGAACTTCCACTAAAAAATAGAAATAGAACTTTGGCTAATGAAAAAGACACTTTGAAGACACACATAATATATGAGCTGAGAAACTCACGGTTTCTAATATCAAGAACACCAGCATCACCCTTTTTCTGGTCCAAATTTTCTCCCGGAATCAAATTATCCTAACATAAAGGGAATATGTAAAAAACAATTAATAATCTAAATTTCACTGGTGCCCACATGGGGAGGAGTCATTAGAAGATAGAACTTGTCAAAACAGTTAATATACTAAATTTCACTTTTGGTAGAACTAACAGTAGCTGAAGCTTTAGCAGCATCAGATTCACTGCTGGATGAACTGCCAGAATCTGAATCTGCATGGAGAAATATAAAAGAGGAATCTAGGTTAGATGTTGATAAAAAAGCATAAAAAACTGCATTCATTCTGATATGTATTAGACCCACAATGAAAACAAAATGTGTACTCCCTCCATCCTAAAACAATTGTTGCTTTTTTGACATTTTCCACATGTTAAAAATTTGGACACTGAAAGAGACACCATTTGGCTCAACACTTATTAAAAAATTATTTTTTTTTATCTAAAATTAAATGCCAAAAAACATATGCAGCCATGCATCCAACATGTGGGAATTGGCCAAACCAGTTGCAACTATATTATATTTTAAAAGCTGAACAGATTGGATAAAGATGCGTGTTTTGATCCAGAGAGTGTCCAAATCATTTTTCTAAAAATTTTTATACAATTTTATGTTTTTGCCTATATTACACTTAAGAAAGAGATCAGAATGACGAGAAGATTTTGGTAATAAGGAGAATTAAAATTAAGCAATAACAAAAAAGATGTCTAGCTTAAAAATTGGACAAACAATGATAATTTGAACAAATTTCCAGTAAAAAAAAAAAAGTATTATTTTTGGGATGGAGGAAGCAAGTCACCAGACAAAATTCTCCACCAAAATAGAAAATAAATACATCATAAAATTGTCTATTGACATAACTCATGGGTTGCACATACAAAAATGAGTGTCCAAGTTCTACACAGTCATCATTCCAAAAGACGCCGAAATGAAGATAATTTAAAGCAACCACCCAAGTGCTTGCATATGCACACATAGGCAACAAGGCGAGGTACAAAACAATAAAAACCCCTCAAACTTTCCCAGGATATGCCCTCTACAAGGCACTTTCTTGTCATTGCCTAGGGAGCTAGGCTAAGGCATTCAAAACCTTTTTAAACTATCTCTTCTTATTCTTGTATTAGGGTTTTATTTGAAAACCTAACTCCTTTATGGGGTAGGATTTTAAATTAAAAGGGTTGTCTTTATTACTTTTTCATAAGTACAGTTAATAAGAGTCCTTTAAAAGCTTTAAAGCCAGAAAGATTACAGTTTAACAACAAAACAGAAGCAAAAGTCTTTAAAAAGTTACATAGAAGTGCTTTTATCTTGTTCAATTCAATTTTTTGCTTAGTTTAGGTGACCAAAACAGATCACATGTTCCTTATAGGAATAGTGGAAAACAGAAAACATGCATGTTGCTCTTCATCAATGTCAAAAACAGAGTACACATCATTCTGATTTTCAATGGAAACTGATGAAAATCAGGAGAATCGATAAGGTGCCTCAAATCACTTGGGAAAATGTTTTTTAATTTTTTGGCATCTTTTGACACCATTTTAAATAACCTTGAAGCCAGTTTGCAACAGGTAGAAAAAATCTGAAAAATAGGCCAGCAAAATGAAACTGTAAAACCCATTAATTAACAATCTACCTTAGCATATCTTCCAACTTTAGACAATGGCATGCTTACATACTCCAGTTTCATAAATTACCAAAGAAAACCAAGTTGAATAAAAACAAGGCTCAAGAAAACACAAACCACTCCTTGAAGAGCCTGATTCGCTACTCGAGCTACTTGAACTGATGCCTTTGTTGTTCCTATTGGCTGCATCCTTCTCTATCTCAACTGGAGGATAGCTTGAAATGGGACAATCATTTCCTCCAACAATATCTATATCCTCATCACCTTGGTCATTTCCTACAAAGAGAGAGATATAAGCTTCCACATTGCAATAGTTCACCATGCATTGACCATACCTTTATCAGCTTGTTAGACTGAATCCCCCTAGCATTGAACAGATATTGACTAGATAAAATACCTTTACAAGGTGGAATAGATGAGTTGCTAAACCCTGATTCATTAAGAAGCTGCAGCAAGGAAAAGGATAGCAGATTCAGAGATATTATTATAATTATTATACACTGGATGTTCAGAACACTTTGAAGAAGAAAAAAAAAATAGAGAAAAGGAGAAGATAAGGATAGATACCTCCATTTCACAAGGTTCAGCTTTTGCCTTTTTTTTTTCTAGCAAAAAATCATCTAAAAGTTCTCGTAATTTGAACAGTGTTTCATCATTGAGAGCATAAATATCAATCTCAATTTCTTCCCCATCAGTCAACCCTTCACTAAAACTGTGCTCTTTGAGAAAATCAACTATATTTTCAGGGAATTCTGTCAAAGCCTCCAACTCTGTGCTCAAATTATGCTTCTCCTGATCAGTCATGATCTGCTTAACAGGCTCCGACTTGATCTTAGTGTCATTTGGGTTTATTTTTTTCATCTTGGAGGATAAAAAATTGATATCAGTTTCATTTTCTATATATACACTGGCTCTTGAAGGCACTGTTATGGTATCAATGTTTACTGGAAGCTTCTTTTCTATAGATTTCCATCTGACTTCAAAAAATTTACTGAGTGTCTGCGCCATAACATGAACATTGTTTCCAGGTGGGTTGTAAGTCGTTGCATTGGAGAAAGTAAGCCGGACATCAGCAGCAAATCCCAATGGACTTGAATACTGACCTGAAACTATCTTGTTCTTAATTGTGCCCAAATCCATAGGATGCTTTATGACTGTGACATAATCTGGAATATTCAATTTTACCACATCAACAGGAGTGTTGAAAACCCAACCACACTGATGTTGCATCAATCGATTGAGCAAAGTCTCACATTGCTTCATCAACACAGCATTTGAAGTATTTGCTGGCACAGCTGGCTTCACAGGTTCAAAACGCCCAGATATATTCTTTTTTGTGCGGGCACTATTACGCCCTGGAGGCAGCCGTTTCTTTCCTTGTGAACCCACTATTTCAGAAGACCTGTGGAAACTCTCTATTGGGATCCTCTTCTGTCCATCATTGCAACTGCGTATGTCACTAGAGGGTGACAAAACAACATTTGAACTAAGAGAAGCAATTTTATTCTGTAGCAACCGAACTTGTTCAAGCTCCATCTTCAATCTCATTTCCAAATTCTTCCTCTCAATATGCGACATCTTTGAGAAAGACAATACTTGAACTGGAACACCATAACCATCACAGCTTTCAGCATTCAAACTAATGCATTTCCTTTTGGGAGCAGATGAATCCTCTGATGCCGTCATCTCTGTATCAACCCGTCCAGAGCTCCCAAGCCCCTCAGATTCACCCATGGTCTCAGCTGCACGCCGGTAATCTGGAACAAAACCAGAAGAATGCCCCTTAGAGTACTTCCGAGATTTCCCCATTTTTTGTGAAAACTGACACTTTCTGGACTCTTTTTGCCTTGTGAACTCTATGGGAACAGCTGGTGCCATAACATTAACTTCCAATAACTGTACATATCAACTCTTCCAGTGAGTTTTATTTCCTCTAATCTGCCTTCTCAAAACTGAGAGACACAAATATTTCTCTGGAAATATGTAGCTTTATTGCAAAAATAAATAAATATATCAATTCCAAAGATTACAGCTATCCAATTATTCAGGCTCCTTCCAGCTCATAAATGGGGTTAAAACTAGAATGATGGCCAAAGCACTTGCGATTCCTCCCTCTTTCAAAACTTTAAACTGTCGACCATACACTCGGTCACCGTAACTCTGAGGGGCAAAACCAACCTCAAATTCATACCAATGTGAATAAAACCTATTGTATAACCCTAACAATGTAAATAAAGAATAAATATGAATCAACGCCAAGAGCGAGATAACTCCACCGATTCCCAATCAACGCGAAATCAAAAACCCTAAGAAATTTCCCCCTAATTTGCCGCTGAAAAACTCCAAATCAATATCGTCCCCCAGTCTGAATTAAAAACTAGAGAAAATCCCGAACGAAATAGGGTTATTAAAGAAAGAATTGACGAAGCAGATAACAAGGATCAATACTTACGAGCAAAAAAATGAAAACATTATGCTCGTTGGAGCAAATTTCTCACAAATGGGACCAAAATGCGGCTCCAAACCCATAAATCCGCTCCGCCAGAATCCAATTTAAAACCTGGATCTCGCAGAAACCCTAGAGAGAAGAAGACGAAGAACCCTCGAGAGGCGACAACAGCGACAGCGAGCTAAGAGGAAAAAGGAGATGGCTGGGTCTAGTCTGGGCTTAACTTCACCTGTACTTAAAGGCCCAATGGCCTCCTTCCCCGCCGGGATTGAACTAATCCCATCCGTTGATTTATGTTTCCTCGACAATCAGATCTAACGGCTGTAAAGGCAGTCAAGGTTGGTTGTCCGTACGGAAAAAATCGTGATGACATCAAAATGGGTTTATTTAAATTAATGTCTTGAAGGAAGCAGCGCGCCGAACTATAATAAATATATTTTTTTATACAATAAGTTGTATAAAAATTTATTTTGATAATATATTATTGGAATAACGTTTATTTATTTTATTTTTTAAAAATTATGAAAAATATTATTTTAAAATTATATTATTTTAATAAATATTTCTTTAAAAAATTAAAATATTTTATTTTTAAAGTATAAATTAAATATTTTTTACCTTCTTCTTTTAAATTTTTTAGAGTTAAAACGATAAATACTAACTTTATATATTATTATAATTAATATTATTTATATAAATTTAATTTTTAAATAAAAAATTTCTTTTAATATATAAAATTTTTATATTGATATTATTTTATTTTATTTATAATTAAATATTTTAACTAAAATATTTTTAAAAAAATTTAATAAAAAATTAGAAATAGCTGTTTTGGATTGCAATATCTAACAGCTGCCTTTAAATCTGCACTGCTTGATATCGTATTAAGCCGTGCAAAAATTTTTAAATTCTTTTTCTCTTTCAAAAAAAAAAAGGAGAGCTAAGCTTAATGCAATTGAGCCCGACTCTCTTGTTTTTCTTTTTTTCTTTTTTTCTCTAACGAACCAATTTTGAAAAGTTTTGTGTTATCTTCGTAAAAGAACATGATATTGAGCATGTGTTGTAAATACTCTTTAAGAAAATAAAAAAATATGATGGTATTAATTTTAACACTTATGTTAAATGCACATTTTTAATTAAATGATTAATAAAATTAACATTTCTTTCAATTAATTTTAATAAATTTAATTTGTAATTTAGGCCTTTAAATTTAATTATCTATTTTTTTTCTAAAATTTTATTTAATACATTTATTTTTATTTTATTCTTATTCTACAAAGATAATTACAATGTATTATTCTCTCTTCCTTTGGCATTGTTAGATCTAACTTTTAATTTGTAGCGTTTAAATTTAATTATTCATTTTTAAAATGTCATTAAATGTATTAATTTTTATTTTACTCTTATTATAAAAATACAATTATAACATATATTAAATAAGAAGATTTATTTAAGTATTGATTAATTTGGATATGCATAAAATTTTATTAATTAATTATTACATTCCTAATTTATTAGGGAAAGAACTAAGTTTGATAAAGTTGAATAGATAGAGTATTAAATAAGAAGGTTTAAGTAATGATTAATTAGGTATAAATATAAAATTTTATTACATACCTAATTTATTGAAGAAAAAAACTAAGTTTGATAAGATTGAATAGAGAGAGTATTAAATAAGAATGCTTAAGTAATAATCAATTAGGTATAAATATAAAATTTTATTACATCTATATTTCCAGTATTGAGAAAAAAACACTGAGTATGAACTCTTTTTCTTTTTTTTTTTTTGGTTATCGTAGCATACAAAATAGGAAATAATAATTGAATAATAATTATTTCATTTTGTTCTAAAAAAGAGGAAGTTGACTTACTTATATTTTAAGGGAGTATTTAGAATTATAGTTGTGGTTGTTTTTATATAGTTATTGTATAATATTTTTAAATATACTATATTTGATAATTTTTTAAAATTTTCTTTTTAAAAATTATAAAAATCGATAGTACATCCATAGTAACTTTATATATGAAGCTTTAAGTCTCATTTTTAAAGATTTTTTATTGTGTTTTTATAAATAAAAATGGCAACGGTCGCCAAAAGGATGGGAACCTCTTCTTCATCCTTATCTTTGCTAATGGTGGGTACTAGAATTCCCACGAGAAGTTTTGGTAAGTGGCAAAAAATACCCTATGCCCTCATTCCTATGGACAAAAATAATACTAATGTCAAATCTACTGTTAAGTAAGCATCAAAAAATAATTTATTTTTTATTGATTTATTTGCACTAAAAATTATTGATTATTTTGTCATTATTATATATAAATATAGTATCTTTTTTCCCTAAATTTTCATCTTCCATTTGTTATATTGGGTTTAGAGTACTTTTAAAGGAAAAAATTAATCAAATACTAAAATAACTTAATACCAAAATAACTTTCAACCACAACCATAACACAATATAATTCAATAAATTCACAATTACAGCTACAACTATAGCACCTTATAATAATCTTAAACGCACCCTAAATACCACATGTTAATTTTTATTGGTCCATTTTACATTAAAAATCAAAACTAATCTTTTTAATTCAAAATTTTACTCCCTCCATTTAACTTGAAGCATTTAAATTTAATTGTGCATTTTTCCTTTTTAGGATATCATTTAATATACTTATTTCTATTTTAACCTTATATTAAAAAGATAACCACAACACATATTAAATAAGAAAAACTTATTTAAATAGTGATTAATTAAAAATAAATATGAAGTTTATCAATTACAATAAGTATTGCAATTCTGTTTTATTAAAAAGAAAAAAACTAGACTTGCTAGAGTTGAAGGGAGAAAGTAATTACAATATAAATTAAATAAGAATGGCTCATTTAAGTAGTGATTAATTTATTTGGGATAAATGTAAAATTTTTCAATTAATTATTATAATTTTATTTTAAAGTCTGATTAATTGGCCAAAAAATTATTTCAAGAATCATTTTTTGCATTTTCTTGTGTTTGGAATACACTTAGAAAATAAGTAAACAGAAAACCATTTTAGCCAATGGAAAATGCCTTAACACTTTCTGAAAAATAACTTCTAGATTTAAATTCCTGAAGTCATTTTCTTTAAAATCATGTAGACTTTTGATTCAATTCTTTAACCCAATTTTTTGTCAAAACATGATTCAATAAAATTGAAAGGCCATGGTCACCGTGGATGGAGACAAAACTTTAATGAAACAAGCAGGGAGTGTTGTTTTGAACAGCACTGCTCCAATGTATGGCTGGTGTTGGGACTATCTATTAATGAAAAATTGAAAATCTTCCATCCCCTCCATCAAACAAAAAAAGGATTTATTACTACGCCTAAAGATGCACTTTTAATTTGTAAGTGGGCAATTTCATGATTATGTTTCTTAGGAAGAAGCACTGTTTTGAAACTCAATTGATTCAATCGTTTGATTGGATTTGATTCTAAAAACGGGTTCAATAATGATATTTACTCATTTAAAGTTAAATCTGATCAAATTCGATCAATTCGGTGATTCGATCAGTTCAACTAAAACTTTTTTTTACATTTTCACTTTTTTTTGTTTTTTCTTAATTTTTATATTTCTATTTATTTAATTAATAGATAATATAATAATTAAATTGTAAAATCTATTTAAAATCAAATCACTATTAATGAATGAAAAATTTTAAATTAATTTAAATGTAATGTGAAATTTTTATGTAGTTATTTACTACAATCAATTATGAAATGAAAATTAATCTTCGATCAATTGAAAGTTAATAAATTTTGTTTTGGTCTAAGAATGGAAATGGGAATATTCTGAAACCTTTATGAATTTCTTTTGTTGCTTTGTGTTATAAAGACCTCAGCATTAATTTCTTGGATGAATGATCACAACTACTACCAGTAGCGCAGCTAAAAAATTGAGGGGCAAATTTTTTTATCCACAGTTTGAATTTTAAATATCTTTTTATAATACTAGTTAATTTATTTTTTAAAATTTAATTTAGATATTTTTTCATTGATATTTTCTTAAAATCTTAATAAAATTAAGAAATTAATACATTGTCTTCATCCTATATTTTTAATAATTTTTTACTAAATGAATCGTTTTATCAAAATAATAATAAAAAAAACCCCTCACTATGATAATACTTAAACAATAGATCAACTATTTCAAATAATTTTAAAATCCTATTCTTTTTCACCCAAAAAGTTTGTCTTTTTTTTTATTATTGATTGGTTTATTAAAAGTTTTTTTTTCCCATCCCAAAGTACTAAACAATATGAAAGAGAAAACATGTAATTCCATACTTAGAAACTTAAACTATTAGCTAAATAAAAACTCAAGTATTTTTATCAAGTAAAGTTTTTGTTAATCAGATTATTTTCTAAAATAAATAACAAAAATTAAAAGATAAAGAATCTAAAACAATTCAAAAACTTAAAAAAAGACAATCTTTTAGTGTATTTTTTAATTAAGAGCTGCAATTTTTAAGTTATTCAGTATGTAGGAAAATCTTTTATTTATATTAAAATATTCTCATGTTTTCCAAAACATTTAACTAACTACTAATATTTTGTTTGTATTTAAAATGATGGTTATAATAAAAATAGTATAAATTGTATCAATTTTTAAGTTGTTAAATATAAAAGACTATGAAGAATTAAATGATAATATTTTAAATTTTAACATGGTAATATTTAAAACTTTTAAAGGACAAAAAGAGTATGTGCATTAGTTTTGAAAATTTTCAAGAGTTGAGGGGGTAGCCACTCCCTTTCTCAACCCCTACCTCACCCCTGACCTTCACTTCAAAAACTCCTTGCTTGAAAGGTTAAATGGGGTTGTTTGAAAGTTAGCAGTTATTGAAAGGTGAATTCTATAATAAAACTCATAATACAATAGACTCAAGTGATTGCATGTTTCACTACTACAAAAAAAAACTTATTTTTTAGCGCATTTTGCACTGAAAAATACTTGAAATGCGCAGTGTTCTACACTAAAAAATGTTGATTGGAAAAAACGTGTGGAAAATAGTTATTTTCCAGGGTAAAAAATGCGTTGGAAAAATTTTACTAATATTTA